CATTAATGAGGAAAGTATTAATTACATTCTCTAAAATGTGAATGTAGCACAGAGCTGCTGTTCCGACTCCTCATTTAGAGAGACGTTGTGCACTTTTACACGTGAGGAGCAGCATGAACTTTATTATTTCAGAAGCTGACACTTAAGTTGTTTCCTCCGTCAAGTTTATGATTACAGTTTTTAGTTTTGATGCTTAAATGTCCCACGAGAGCTCTTACTGCTTTACTCTCAGCAAAAAAACGCCTGCTTCTCCAATTTGCTGAATCCACCATGTAAGTGTCAGCGTACCAGCTGCGGGCACACCTGGCTTTTAAACAAAGTGAGAGATGACATTGGTTGAATTTATGTTAGGCACAAAGCACACCTTTGATTACTTTGGACTAAATCCAGCCCTTTTGCCCCTTGCACCTTACTTTGCATCCAGATGTAACATGTAATTTCTCAGACTTGACAAACCTTGCTCTAGAGCCACAGGAAAAATTACAACTGCTCTCTCAAGCTGTGTTACACTCCTTGTGACTTGCAAATTTTTAAAATACGTTTCATGTCCTGTTTCAGAACTCTTCCAAACAAACACATGGGGAAGATCGTAGAAAACATTGCCAAGTACAGCATCTCAGCTCTGCTCGTAATCGGAGGATTCGAGGTATAAGACACAACCCTTTAAAGAACCAGATCTGCAGTTCTTGTACATTATTTTGTGTCAATGTTACATCAAAGAGATTTTCAATCTACCTCTTGGTGACTTTCAAAGGCGTACGCAGGTGTGCTGCAGCTGTTTGAAGCCCGGGGTCACTATGATGAGCTCTGCATCCCCATGTGTGTAATCCCTGCTACCATCAGCAACAATGTCCCTGGAACTGACTTCAGCCTGGGAGCAGACACGGCTGTCAACGCTGCCATGGAGGTAATGCTGAGCAGATGGTAAATTAATAGGGTGACTTTGATGTTTCAGGATTAACACAAATAGAGACGAAACCAAGCCAGAAAACATCACGTTATATGAGATGCCATATTATCAAGATGCACTTTGAACTCTGAATACTTACTGAAAACGGGCACAGTGAGTAGTCAGAGCATTAGTTTTTTATCTTAAAACTTTGAGAATTGAGGCAGTGCTTGAAAGCACATAAAGCAAATAAGGAGGAAGCTGATGTTGGAGCTGTCGCAACTTTCAAACCGACATTGTTGACCCTTCCTGCAATCGCCAGTGTCTCCTCTCACTCTGCCATTTTAATTTCTTCCCCAGGGTTGCGACAAGATCAAGCAGTCTGCCTCTGGCACCAAGAGACGAGTGTTTGTGGTGGAGACGATGGGTGGGTACTGCGGATATCTGGCAACCTGCACTGGTATAGCTGTAGGTGCTGACGCAGCCTACATCTTTGAAGACCCCTTCAACATCCACGACCTGAAGGTAAGACCAAAAGAAAAACCTCTGCTGTTTCCTTAATTTTGATCATAATGTTCTCAGCTCTCTTTAAATATTTGGCCTTTTGACAGACAAATGTGGAGCATTTGGCTGAAAAGATGAAGAAGGACATCCAGCGGGGTCTAATATTGAGGTACGGAACACTCGGCCATACAGAGACCTAAGGAAAAGGTGTTTGTGCATCTGTTTATCTACATTATATGGCTCTGTATACACAATGGATATTTTCCTCTACCTTTTGGCTTCTCGTTCACACTGAAGTAGTTTGAGTTTTTTTTTTAATCCTCTTCTATAGTAATAATAATAATAATAAAATGTATTTATAGAGCACTTTTCATACAAGGGATGACAATAAGAAGACAATAAAAAGACAATTATAAGCAAAATATAAAAGTGAAGGTAAAAAGGACAGAGACCGTAATAATAGAAAAAAATTGAAAATTACTATAAAATAATAAGAATTATATTAATTAAAAGCCAGACTAAATAAGGAGGTTTTCAGCTGTTGTTTAAAAATGAAAAATGTAAGGTGAAGATTTTACAAAACTATCTGTATGGATGTGTAAAATGGAGAGTTCAGTAAACAATGACATCATCTCCTCAGCTGGACATCTTAACTACATTATGGTGCCGTATTTTAAGTCTGAGGATCACCAAAATCATAAGTTTTATTATCTGGGTAACATTATTGTTTGCACATTTCAATGCAAATGATCTAAAAGTTGTTGAGATATTTCAGTCTGGATTAAAGTGGCGGACAATTCAAGATGACATACTGTACAGCATATATGGAACATATCATATTTTAGATGTATAAAACAGTGTCAGATTTATTTTTTTTCTTTGCTGATAATTTTCTCTGTCCTATCAGGAATGAAAACGCCCATGCAAACTACACCACAGATTTCATCCATAGGCTGTATTCAGCAGAGGGGAAGGGCATCTTTGACTGCAGAGTCAACATATTGGGACACCTTCAGCAGGTATGGAGCAACTATACAGTGGGTGAACGGAACATGCCAAAACAAAATAAATAAATGACTTCAAATAAAGTAAGATTACATTAAATGTAGAGAGATTAATACTGAAAATAAATGCAGGCTTTGACGGATAAAATGTTTATTTATTATATTCGTTCCCCTGTTTATTTACTTTATTACATTTTCCCTTTTATTTAATTTTATTTTTGCATTTATTTTAAATTTATTTATTTATTGTGTTTTTCTGTATTATTTTCCCTTTGCGTGTCCCCCCATTTATCTCTGTATTATTTTTTATCATGCATTTCTTCTTAATTATACAAACGAGGGGGCTGTCATTCAAAGTGTGTCACATTTTATAAATTATTTAACGGCTACATTTACTATTGGTGGTATATTAAATGGCATATTTTATTTATTGTAATATATTTATTTTGGCAGCTTCTTTCCTTCATACCATACTAGAATCATCATCTTACAAAACACACCTTAGCAAGTTGCAGATGTTTCAGTTTAAGTGACACTATACTGTGAGGAGACACAGTCTTGCAATATATTTAAACTCAGCTGGTGTGTTTGTGTTCCAGGGAGGAGCACCATCTCCTTTTGATAGAAATTATGGCACTAAGTTGGGTGTGAGGGCAATCCAGTGGCTGTCAGAGAGGTTGACTGAAAACTTCCGACAAGGTAACGTTAATGTGTAAGGTAAAAGTTGACATAAATTTCTCAGAAACCCCAAATCAAACCACAGCAATGTGATGATTCTACCACTGTGTGTGTGTGTTTTCTTTTCCACCAGGCCGCGTGTTCGCCAACTCACCAGATACAGCATGTGTGCTTGGCCTCAGCAGGAAGGTCATCAAGTTCAGCCCCGTCACTGAACTGAAGGAAGTGACTGACTTTGAGTAAGCGACATCACAGGTTTTCATCAAAGAGGAGTTCATTAATAATCCGTCTTGATAATATCTGATTACGTCTGTTTTTCAGGCACCGGATGCCCAAGGTCCAGTGGTGGTTTAACCTTCGGCCAATGCTTAAAATGTTGGCCAAGTACCAAACCAGCTTCACTGAGTATGTGCCAGGGGAGATTGAGCACGTGACACGACGTTCCATCAGCATCGACGCTGGGTTCTAGGCTCTTTAACGCTACAGTGCACACTGCACTTTTTAACCTTTATCTGTCCATCCTTTGTTTCTTTGCAGAATGCATACTCAGAGGAATACTTCACCCAGAAAGTGATCCTTTGTATATCAATTACTCACCGCCGATTTACCTTGAATTCTAAAAGAAAACTTTGTTTTTCTTGCATGCCTCAACAACGAATGAGGAATCCAAAAACGGTGAACAATCTCAATGAATTCAAATAAATGGGGGCTGCATTTAACATCAGCAAAACTATATGAAGACGTCTGTTTACAAACTCTCACAAGTCATGCAGTCCAAGTCTCATTTATCCAGTTGTGTGCTCAGTACTTAACAAACACATGCATTTTTGCTGCATTATTTAATACTTAGACGAGGAGCGCACGCACTTGCCTAGGCGCACTCCTTGTTTGCAGTGTTTTAAATAGTAAGGTTTTAGTGAGAATTTGGGAATTATTGAGCATACGACTGGATAAATTAGTCTTGGATTACACTGCATGAGTTGTGTGAGAGTTTGTAAAGATGTTTTGATATAGTTATACTGTTGTTAAACAAAGCCCCCCTTCAATTCATCGAGAATGTTCACCGTTTTTGGATTCTTTGTTCATCGTAGAGGCTTGAAAGGAAAACGAAGTCATCTTCACAAATCCAGTATAACACAGGGTGAGTAATTGTTATATAAATCATCATTTTGTGGGTGAAGTATTCCTCAATGAATGGTTTTAAATTTAGTGCTATGTACGTTTACAGGACTGAAGACTTTTAAAGCCAACATTGATCTCAGTCTTGACTGTGTCAAAGAAGCTACTGTATGTTTAATAATGTAAAAAAGTACTTCAGATATTCATTTGTTGCCTTCAGTAGAGAGATCTGATTTTTAATCAGAAACCTTTAGTAAAAGTAGTATGTCTGTGTTATCCAGCTAAAAATTAGAGCTTCTGAATTTTTGACATTCCTCTATAATTTGCAGAAATTTTTTTAAGGGTCCAGTGGTTGTATTTTATTCTGATTTGTGTTCAACTCCTTTATTGTCAAAATGTGACTGAGACCAGTGAAATGTTAATTTAATTTTATTTTGAACTGTGTGAGACTAAAACAGTGCCTCTGTTAGTAATTAATGCAAACTAAACAGCAATTCACAAAATACCAATTGGCAGTTTGTTACACGGTAAATAATAATAATATTCATAACATGAATAAACTTCACAACTGCTTTACTTAACAATGAAAAATCTGTAAAGAAATGTGACATATGTTTTTGTTTTTTTTTGATTCTACGCTAATCTTCACAATAAAATGTCGTTCAACAGTGAGATTAGAAATTTGTTCTTTGTCATGTGAACAGCTATTGAAATAAGATATTAAGTTAACATGTTTAACAGAACAAAAAAACCTACCCGGCAACTTCACTTAGATTTTTAACTGTTTGAGTTTTATAACAGCTTTAAACGATTAACTCTTACCTAAGGTATTTGTCATTACCCACTATATGAGAACATAACCAAAGAAAAGAAGCTGATGAACTAGCCTGATGAACACTTGCTGCTAGCTCTCAAAAGTTGAATGAAAATGGAAACTCATCCCTGGTGTTATCTTTGTTAGTGGCCTGAGGGCTCTTGGAGCTAAAGGTAAACTGGAAGTCTTCACCTTGCTCTGGTTGGCCGAACAGGAACTCAGGACCTGCAAAATCATAAACACACCTGCAGTTCACAGGCAGGTAACACACATCACAAAAACAGAGATGTGACTTGAAACTTACATGCTGAGGACTTCGATTCTGTGGTTTTCTGTAACGAGACAAACAGTTTGGTATTTTTGTTCAATAATCAATACGATCAATAATGTATGAAATAAAAGGGGATTCCAGTAAAAATTCAGTACCTTCACATTGAAAAGAGAGCCGCTAAAAGCGAAAGACGTCTCCTGTGAAGAAACGTGGAGGTAATTCCAAAACACAGAAACAGCGATTTCTGTCAAATCAGTCATTCCCTTTGCTCACTCCTCACCTCATCCTGTGACGAGCTGAAGTCAAATCCAAACCCAGAGAAGCCCGGGGTGCTGGGCTCAGAGTTCAGAGAGAACAGGAAAGCTGGAGATTTGGTATCAGAGGGGCCTTTACGTGGGGGGCTGTCAGGGCTAAAGCTGAAGAGAACAAAGTCAACATAAGTGGTTGCCGTGACAGTCACTCAAAGTGTTGGACAAGTCAGACAAAGCCTTACGCAAATCTGAATGTCGGGGTTGAAGGCACGGCTGTCATTTCTGCCGGGGAGGGTTGAGGAATCGTTTCTTGAGGTGATGACTGAGGAAAAGCAGCGAGTCCCTCGTCCTCTTCACTCGGCGCCTGCCCTTCATCTATAGCTGCTCGTTCTTCCATCGCCCCCTCCACGCCTGATGCTGTAGCTTGCTGGTCATGTGCAAAAAATACACAATATAGGACTGCTTTTATGGGGGGGGGGGGGGCATTTTAAGGACAATCTAGGTATAATAGACAAACATTACCAATACTTGGTCCTCTTGTCCAGGCTCCTGTTCCTGCACCTCAGTGTGCATCTCATCTGGCTGTATTTGCTCTGAAGAAATAAATATAATAATGAGGTTTGATGCAACATATACATCTGAAACACACAGTAGACTTATCTCTACTTACCATCCAATGGATAACATGACCACTGTTTACTGCTTTCCTCTTCTGGGGGAGGGCTGCTGACAGTAGCGCACTGCACCTTAAAGATCCGTTCAGATTTATCAAAGTGGCTACAGGACCTGCTTTAACATCTGCATTTATAACTGCTAGAATTTTGCAAGCTTTACAATTCCATTAGTATTGTTTAATGTATTCAAGTACCTTGGTCTGGTTGAGATTAAGTGAAGAAATATCAATGGAAGAACTACTCTCCTCCTCTGTCTGAGGGTCTAATTGTTTCTCTGCTCCTATGGGCTGCTGGCCTGGAACACTGAAGAAAAGTGAACCCAGTCAAAGACAAACTGAGCTTTGCTGGAGGCTATGTGTCATTGTTCTTCGCTATCTGTAAGATTCACTGAAAGATACCTGTCTGGTAGTTTCTCATTTGATGCAGAATCAACCTCTGGACCTGTTCAGGCAGAAATTCAATGAACTGTATCAAGAGGTGTAAATATTTCAGCTCTACCAGAGCAAGTTATGATGATATAAAAAGTTTATTACCAGTGAGACTGTCCAGCTCCTTCTCTGTGATTTTTATTTGGTCATCACAAGCCTTGATACTACACTTTGTCTCCTCATTTTCAGCCTGCAGCTTAAGGAGCTTTTGAGCGAGGGGATTTTGGTAAAAATACTCCTTTTGTGACTGGAATTTCTTCCAGCAGGTAGTGATTCTCTCTTTGTAGACTTCCCTTGTAGGGTCACAAATGAAGAACAGTTAAGGTTGTTTCTGCCCACAAAAATATATTAAATGCAAATAAACACCACAGCTAACTGAACCTACATGTCGCTGTTGTAAGTGATTTTTCTGTTGTCCAGTTCTGCTCTCAGTGTCTGGTTATACTGAAGAAGCAGGCTGTGAGTCGCGTTCTTGCTAAAGTTACATGGATGACAAGCAATTATATGTAATATGCACTGCTTATGTTAAGTTACAGGTAAAATTTGACTGTGTATTAACTTGGTCTGTCATGATATGATCCACAAATACATAGCCAGCATACCTTTTAACATTTCCCCCATTCACTGCACTCTGCTTCATCCTGATTTCATCCTTTAGTTTCTTTATATTTTTTTGCACTGCTTCATTATGAGATCTCTTCTTGGCAATGTCAGCTCTGCAAACTGTTGATAAAATGTGAGCTCTTGATGGACACCATTTTACAACATAAAACCAGAGTTTGTTAGCCTGCCTTTCATACAAGTATCTATTTTCATATAGGTTAAAAAGGGTAACTGTTGAACATGGCATTAACTTACCTGTAATTCGTTGGTCGATTTCATTCTTCTTTCGGGAAACCTCCCGACTATGAAGAGCTATAAACAAAAAACAGTCATCTTATTTAGAAATAACTATTATCTTTTTATATTTTTGTAAAAGCAGTAGGCTTGTGGTGTTATATCTCACCTGAATTAGCTTAGGTCACTTAGCACCAAAGCTAGCTTGCTACTGACAGCCGTTAGCATAGCAGCTAACGTTAGCTAACGTTAAACCTTTAACGTAAACATCTACTGACAACAAAATTACAACTGTTAACGAATAATGAACTCAATAACTGAACTCACCAAGCTGAAAGAGGGCACTGTCGATTTTATTCAGTGAAAACTGGTCATTCATTTTTCCACCAGCCTTCAGTTAGCAACATTAGTTGACTCTGTGTTAGCTTTCAGGCGGGCCGCGGGCTGCTGCTGTCAACGGCTCAGACGTTAGGAGAGATCCGCCCCTTCAGTGTAACACAAAGGTCTTCATGTCATCAGCTCCAGTGAAGGTAAGCTATTATTTAATGAAGAGAGACACGAAATAATTAATGGTTAGATTTTAGATGTCACTTAGATACGCAAGAGTTTGGCAAACCTCCAACTCACTTGTTGTCTGAGGTGTTTTCAGTTTAGCTGGGATTGATGTTAGCATGGTTAGCATTTTGGTGCATTTTACTTTAAGTGACCAGTTTATGTTACTAAGTTACTAAATAAATCTAATTCTAATTAGTAACATTTATGGACAACAAATATTCATTAGGTTATTTTAAATTAACTTACTGCTTAATGTTGCTGATTAGAAAATGGGTAGGCCTATATTCTTTTCAGTAAAAAAGTTATATGGAGCCGGGAATAGGTTGTTAAACATTGTTCAGTCCAAGGACCCCTTAGCTGAAAGAAAGATGGAGCAGGGACCCCCTACATATAAAATAGGTGCCCCAGGAATGAGTCCTAAAACCAAGAAAAATATATTTAGTCTATGTTTTCCTTGCTTAAAACCAAGTAAACTGTAAAAGAAGGAAAGGTCATGCTAACAGTGACAGCTTTCAAGGAGACAGACTTTTGTGTCAGTTCTGTTGGAGTCAATGAGGCAGGCACAGCAAATCAGGCTACAACCCATTATATCTTTGTTGTTTCAACTTTGACCCATTATGCTTATTTACTGCTCACTGATGTGTTTTTTTTTTATTCAAATATACGCGTTGGTTTTCCATGTTACTGGTCTCCAAACAGATCATTGCTCTGTTTTGCAGCTGGATCTCAGCCTCTGCTGGACAGAGCCATGATCTTCTTTGGAGACCAGCAACAAGAAAAACAATCAATGTGGAAACATTTTTCAGTCACAGTTGGAGCAACAAAGATATGCCCTGGCCACTTCATCAGCACATTCTCACTTGATCTCGTCACATGTCGATGTTAGGTCATGGACTTACATGCATTGTCTCTTCTTTCAAAAATACACTTCTGTTTCGAAATTTACTGTTTACTTACAGTCAGTTTCAAAATAAATGCTCTACGTTGAATTGATGTTTTTTTTCCCCCCTCAACAACTGGCACGCATGGTTGGGTTTATGCAACAAAAATATGTGGTTTGGTTTATGCAACAAAAATATGTGGTTGGGTTTAGGCAACAAAAATATGTGGTTGGGTTTATGCAACAAAAATATGTGGTCGGGTTTATGCAACAAAAGGTTTGGCTTTATAATCTTATGGGACATGAACACTGCTCTTTTGGGTGAAATTCGGTATTTGTTGGATCCATCCAGCATGCCCCACATGAACTTTTGCCACCTTAACTTTGGTTCTTGTCCTGCAGCATCTGCCAGCAAAGCAGTTTTGTGTTGCTATGTGTGGTATTTATTCAGTTTTGGGAAATCACCATGTCTAGAAAGCATCAGTGGCTGCAGCTGACAGGGACGGCTAACAGCAGCAGCAAAGCTAACATCAGGACGTCATCTGTTAAAAGCCTCCCGTTACGACATGAAACTACTCCAGTTAGCTCAATCATGTTGTAACTAAGACATCCGCTGGAAAAAAAAATTTTTTCACGGACCGTTTATTGAGTTAATGAGTCATTACAGACACGGCTAACAGCTAACAGTTAGCCCAGCTAATCTATGATAACCATGTTATTAATTACAAAACGTGCACACAGAAATAGTAATGTTTGTTTAATCATTGTGTTTATAGACTTTACAAACATCAGATTAGTCTAAACGGTGATATAGTGACTTGAAAATGTGATATACATATATATATATATATATATCTATACATATATATATATGTATGTATAGCTAAACTCTGCTGGTTTTCTACCCTTAAGTATTTGTAAACAACAAGGCGATTCCCTCTATAGGGATATTTAACTTTTACTGCCAAAAACAAGTAAAAACAAAGAGATCATTAATTGTATTCCTATATTTGAAAAAATATATATTTTTGATGATGGTTTAATAATTTTGTATTCATTTTTTTGAGGCCTCTGTCAGTCAGTGGCCCTTGGAATTGTCCTAATTGTTCCCCCCTACAGGGGGCGCCACTGTACATGGCGCCACTGCCTACTCTGTGGGCAGATGTGCTTGAACAGTGCTTTTGAAGTGTTCCCATCTCCCATCATTCTCCCTCATGACGGCAGTGAGGATTATGAGTGGGTCGGCTTGGTGTGGGTGTGACAGAGGTTAGAGGGGCGGGTTTAGTGCTATTCTGGAAATCATTTTGCGTAGCGCATCTGTATCGGCACAAAAACAGCGCTGGGATGTGTGGACTCCTGCATCGTCTCAGTGTGATTCATCCGTACACGGTATAGTTTATCTACCCGGTGCGTGTCCATCCTATTAAAGGTAAGACTCAGTTTAAATTGCAGGTCTATTTAAAGTACATGTTGTTCGCCGGCTGGCGTTTGCAGACAAAAGAGCGGACATGGATGGGTGGGATTTACATGGGAGGGGATCAGCTGTGTGAAGAATGGGTTGCATTGTCGCCTTCACCCCCTCTTATCAAATGATGTATTCTTTAGGATAATCACCTCAATCCATCATTGGATTTTGTAGCTTTTCTTTAATTGTGTCTTTAAATGTAAATATAAGGATTTTAATACACTGAGCTCGCAGCATATGAGCGGATAGTATCGCTGCGCTGTCAAGCAAAACAGAGGCAACCCCCCTTTTTGAAAAAATCTATCAGGCTTTGTTTGTCATCTATCTAACGCGATTTGTTCTCTGTGTGTTCAGATGCATAAAGCCTGCATAGATTCATGCTAATGTGACATTTAGTAGATTTTTTATTAGTCATCCTCACAGAAAAGGCGAGAGTGCAGGATGTAGGCCAGGATCAGTGTGCATGGGGGAGTGCATTCTTACTGTGACTGTAAAAACAAGGCATATTTATGTCTCTCTCTCTCTCTCTCTCTCTCTCTCTCTCTCTCTCTCTCTCTGTTTGTGTGTATATGTGTGGGTGCTTTATCACTTTGTATTCAGCAGGAAATCCTCAGATTAAACAGAGGAATGGATGGACACAGTCTATGCTGCTCAGGACTTCACCATTAGTCTCCATATATAACCCATCAAAAACTAAAAAAGTCAAAAGAGTTACTGGATCAGGTGAGATCATGGCACAGGTTGAGGAGTCTCACACCGAGGGAGAGGGTAGCCCCCAGATGATCTCCTTGAGGTCAGACATATCAGGGAACCACGTGGACGATGGGGAAGTAGGGCCCTCCATAAGGAGGAAGAGGAGGAAGAAGAAAGACCCGCGTCCGGAGTCCATCATTGTTTACCGCTCTGAGATGGAGAGGGCGCCTGGAGAGGACCAATGCAGTGAGGAGGGAGCAGAGAGGAGCACAGAGGAGGGAGCTAAATTCCTTTCCACACCTACAGGCGAAGGTGAGAGGGGTGTCAGATTGTGTTAATGTCAGGAAGCCATATGTCACTTGTTATTACTGAAGGAAAGTTAAGTCTTTTGTTCAACATATACCGTGCAATTCACATCTTGCAAACTGATGACGTGAACAAAACTGAAGAAGGATTTGTCGTCATTATGGGCAAGTTCTGGTGAATTATTATGCACCAATTTGTGCCTTATTTGCCTTAATTTAGTTTGTACATGTCATTAGTTTTGTCAAAGCCCTCTGCTTCTTTCATCTTTTTATTTATGCACATGCTCTAAATATTGATGGGAATGTGTCCCTTGTGTCCCCTCTGAAACAGATACCTAAGAGTATGGGGGCATGTTAAGTAAAAATCAAGAATGAACCTTAGTATACCACGTTTATTGCTTGCTTTTTTCTTGCTTGTTGTTTACCATATTGATAATTGTCTTATTTCGTTTTTTCTCTCATCAGGAGGAGGATGGAGCCTTCCCCCAGACAGCCGCTACGTGACCCTGACAGGCACCATCACCCGAGGGAAGAAGAAGGGTCAGGTGGTGGACATTCACCTCACATTGACAGAGAAGGAAATCAGGGATCTGGCTAAGTCGAAGGAACGTCTCGACGCAGAGTGCGAGGCGGGGGAAGGCTCTAAACGCGCCTGTGGCTTCGGTGTGTGCCAGGGACCCCATGTTGTCTTATGGAGCCTCTCCTGCGCCCCTGTGATTTTCCTCCTCTCCTTCATCACGTCCTTCTACTACGGCACTCTCACCTGGTACAACGTCTTCCTGGTGTACAATGAGGAGCGGACGTTCTGGCACAAGATTACGATATGCCCCTTCCTCATCATCTTTTACCCCATGCTCATCATGCCCATGGCGCTGTCTCTGGCTCTGTACTCCGCCGTGGTGCAGGTGTCCTGGGCCTTCAGCGAGTGGTGGCATGCTGTGAGGGACCTGGAGAAAGGCTTCTGCGGCTGGGCCTGTGGGAAACTGGGACTGGAGGACTGTTCCCCCTATAGCATAGTAGAGCTGCTTGACTCTGATACTGTTTCTGGCACTCTGCAGAGCAAGGCTCCCAGTGAACTCGCCCAGACGTCATCAGTGTGAAGCGAGGGGACGCTGAGGTCCATGGCACATAAGGGTGTAGGCCTGAGTCAAAGTGATTCGAAAAATGTGCCAGAACATTTAAGCCCGTCACGGAAAGTACTTGGAAGCTGTTTCACTATACTTTTCTGTTAATGACAACTTATCAAACACTGCCTATTCTGTCCTGAAATGCTGAACTATTACCACAAAATTTATAAAGCATTACTGGATCCAGATCACTATGAATTATTCCTCTGAGCATGGGAGTGGTAATGTTGGATAATTTTTACTTTTACATTTTTTGTTTTTAGAGTTATCTTCCAATCACTGAATCCCACTCAAAGATCTTTTGATATATGCAGGCCATGGTGCCTCCTGTAGTAAAGCTTAGATAAACTGGCTGTGGATACACACAAGATGTCGGAGGCCTGAAGGGTAAAACAAGTTTCACTTCATCTGTAAATATCTGTAATTAAATGTACTT